GGAACGCCACCGAGAGGGAAGAACAGCCTGCGACCCCCCACTGGGGGCTCCGACGGGGGAGCCCGGGGTCTCTGCCAGAGAGGCAAGCAGGGGGGGGGGCGGGGGGGGAGCGGGAGTGGGCACCTGGTCTCTTGAATCCACTGGTGGAAAGCATTGGCGTGCTGAGCAAACTCCTGGCGCAGCTTGTCGTTCTCCTCTTGCCTGCGCTGCTCCTTCTGCAGCTCCAGCTCACGTTCCTGAAGAATGGAAAGCCACGTGACATCCAGGGGGAAAGGGGGGCTTCGGAAATCAGCTGCAGCTCCACGACGGAGCACCCGCTTTCGAGGGACAGGACCCCACGTTCGGTCCCCGGCATCGACTGTTAAGCAGGGTCAGGTCTTAGGTGAGCCTTTGAAGAGCGGCTGCCAAGCAGAGTAGACAAGACTGACCTTGCCTGCTCAGTGGCCCAGCTCTGCGTAAGGCCGCTTCGGGGGTCAAGTCCTGCGGATTCTACAATGGGCTCAACAGCATTTCTGGTCCCCTGGAAGGCAGCCCTGCCCTCTTTCCACTGTCTGTTAACGGCCATGTTATCATCCCGCCTTTCTCCCATGGAGGGCTCAGGGCCCCTGGACATGACGCCCCCCCCATCTCTTTTCTCCTATCCTTGAGAGGGAGGTTAGGCAGAGAGACTCCCTGGTCAGCTACTGAGCTTCATGCCATGCAGGGAACTGAATGCACGTCTATGTGCCAGAATGGCTCTCAGCCAGCCCTGGTGCCTTTCTTCTGCAACAGCCGGACTAGAGGGGGATGGGAAGTCTTCTTCCGTCCGCGGTTGGGAGTCCCGAGGGGGATGGGAGCACACTCGCTGCCCTACCCCATCCTGCCTCGGCACTGCTGCCGGTTCTTTCGGCCCCTTCCAGCCTGGCCCCCTTGGGGTTTCTGTTCCAAATCCCTCCAAAAGACCTGCTTTCTATTTGGCCCCTGGCTGGCTGAGAACACAGAAGCCACGGAAATCTGCTGTTGGCCTCCTACGTGGCCAGAGCAGCTTCATGTGCAAGCAGGACTCCCCCATGGATCCCAACCTCTCATGTTTCGAACAACGAAATGCACCACTCTGTAACTCCCGGAGGCCTGCATTCAGTAACTGCCGATCAAGCTACACGTGAGGGATGGGCACGAAATCTCGTCCCAAACCTAATTTTGTGACAGACATTGCTGGTTTGTTAACCGGAGGCTCAGGCCCATCCTTATCCATGACCCTCCACATGGTTTTGGAGGTTTGTGGGGTTCGTAGTAGGAAGCATGGGGGGGGGGGCGCGCAGAGGGATCACTGAAATGGATGAAAGCCATTTCAGTGATCCCCCCCCCCACTTCCAAGCGGACCCTTTTAATGGCTTTTGCTTGGATTTCACTCGTGCATGGCTCGCAAAAGCCATTTAAAGAGAACATTCCCTTTAAATGGCTTTTGCGGAGGTCTCCCCCCCCCATTCTGCTGGACTTGGGGAGCCAACCCCAGCAGAAAGGAGGGCGGGATGATCTCAGGTCTTCTCCTGAACCAAACTGGTTCGTTAAATGGTGAGGTTTGGGAAGGTTCGTGTGACCTCACAAACCGGGACAAACCTTCATTTTCCTGGTTTGTGCCCATCCCTACTACATATATTATGCCAGCAGATGCTGCCATGAAGGTCCCTTTTCTTAACCCAAACAGCTAATCGGGGGAAGGGTGGGGGTTGGGAGCAGGGAGGCTCAATGATGAACAAGCAGGGCCAGACAAGAGGCTCCAGATGAGGAGTGGAGAGCTCCCCAAAAAGCTCGCCAATGCAGAGTGGGCAGGGATAACACTGGGTGGGAGGAGCTCTTCCCACTGGAAGAAGCCTAATTGCCAGTTACCTTGATGATTTTCTGCAGATTCCTCCAGGTTTCCTCCAGAGCCTCCATGGTGAACCAGGTATATGGGTTGGAGGCCACCCGGAAGCTCTTGATCTGGCGATCCAGCTCAGCTAGCTGGTTGAAGTCGGCTTGGGCAGAACTGAGCGAGGAGCGGAATGCATCGTGGGCCTCCCTCAGTGCCTTGATCTCCTCCAGCGAGTTGCAGCGCACAGGGTCGGTTAGGTCTTCCTCAGCATTCTCAAACCAGCTGTTGAAGGCTGAAGCTTTCTTGGCAAAAGTCAGGAACAAGTCTTCAACCTTGGAAAGAGATGACCGTCCGTTTAAGCAAGACTTTTACAGGCAAAATGTGGGGGAAAGGGGGGACCAGCATCTCTGAGATGATGGGAAAAATACAAAAGACATCAGCAGCAGCACCTGAACATAGTTATGCACGCACACGCTCCGGAAAAACCTGACTGCCTGAACACTGTTGAGACATGTGACGGGATGTCCGGCTGTTCATTTAGAACAAAGAAATCTGCAGGGCTAGCCCTCTCCAGGCTTTTGTGTTGGCTTAATTCTCGGCCTAATGAGCCAGAAATAATGGCTGGCACTAGGGCAATACAAAAGGGGCACCAACCGCAGCATAAAGGGCCAAAGCAGCCTCCCCTCTAGAATGTACAGGGAGCTGGTGGGGAGAGGAAGGCTGTCGCTGAGAGCACAGGGCTGAACCTGGGCCCAGAGGGAGAGGAAGGCAAACCCCTGGCCAGAAACAGAGAGCTGGAACCAGCGACTGAACTGACACACTGCTTCGGCGCGGCCTCTCCGTTCAGCTGGCCGGCCTCTTGGGATTCGCCACCTCAGCCAAAGGGGCCCCCGCCACACAAAACACAAGGCACACTGCAACTGCACCTCTAGGGTGTCGGCTGCCGGAGGATAACGGGCATACGATCAGAGCGAAGCAGGAAGCGGATTTGTTCAGAAGGGTTCGGCCCAGTTCTTTCTGTTTCTGTATAAATCCAAATTCAGGGTGCCCCTCTGTTTCAAAGGGAACAGTTTCTGTGCAGGGCAAGACTCGCCGTTTCAGACAAGCCAGGGACTGCAGCTCAGTCGTAGGATAAAGCTTTGCAAGAAGAAATGGGGGGGGTGTTCTACCTCTGGGATCAAGCGGTTCAAGAGGGAGCAGGGCCAGGGAAGACCTCTGCCTGACTGCAGAGAGAGCGGCTGCCCATCAGACTCGACAACTGGGTGGCTAGACACAACAAAGGGGGGTGGGGGGGGGGACGGACCACTCAGTGGCAAAGTACATGCTTTGTGAGCGAGAGATCCCAGGTCTCAGCCCTGTTACTTCCCCATTAAAAGGATCTCATGTAGCAGGGCTCGGAAGGATTCCCTCTGCTCGAGATGTTGCCGCGCTACTGCTAGTCACAGTAGACACTATTGAGCCAGGTGGACCAATGCTCAGCATAAGGTGGGGTCACGTGCGGCTATTAGCGGCATGTACACGTGGTCACATCTTTAGATGTTTAAAATAAACCGATAAAAATTAAACACAAACGCACTAAGCCACAGGGAGGATTAACTTTTCCGGAAAACAACCACCCTGCATGAAGAAAAGGGTGATAAAGAAGGACCCGCCCCTTAACCACCACCAGTGTTCCCTCTAAGCTGAGTTAGCGTGAGCTAGCTCACGGTTTTTGAGCCTCCGGCTCACACATTTTTGCCTTCGCTCAGGAAGGAGGGCTCCAGAGCAAACCAATTCATGCAGCAGCCAAATCGCTCGCTCACAACTTTAATGCCAGGAGCTCACCAAGTAGAATCTTTGCTCACAAGACTCCACAGCTTAGAGGGAGCATTGACCACCACCCCAGGGATTTAAAGTTATCATTACTGTTAAGAGTAGGACTGGTTCAGTTTTAAGGCACTGCATCAGAAACACAGAACAAAATTCGAGTCCAGGGGCACCTTTAAGGCCAACCAAGTTTTATTCCGGGAATAAAACTTGGTTGGTCTTAAAGGTGTTACTGGACTCGAACTTTGTTCTGCTGCTTCAGACCAGCACGGCTGACCACCTGGATCTATCATCAGAAACAGAGTTCAGGCTAGAAACAAAGCTTGACATTTGTGCCTGAAGACATTCTTCCTCTGAGCTGGGAAAAAAACAGCCTGGCTTCCTGAGGTCTGTACCCTTTCCCCTTCTCTAGTGCCACATCTCCTTGATCGGGTTTGGTCTCGGCAAGCCCGGTCTTGTCAGATCTCAGGAGCTAAGCAGGGTCGGCCCTGGTTAACACTCAGATGGGAGACCGGCCCAGGAAGCCCAGGGTTGCCACGCAGAGGCAGGCAATGGCGGCCACCTCTGAACAACCTCTGGCCTTGAAAGCCCTACAGGGTTTGCCAGAAGCCGCCTGCAGACTAAGGGCACTTTCTACCAGTAAGGAAAAAAAGGGGAAAAGGGGAAAAAACTGAACCTAAAACCTAGAATTCAGAACCTAAAACCTATAATTCAAAACCTAAAAAGGTTAGTCAAGAATGGAAGAGGGCCAACTCTAAAAATCTAATTATGAAACATACAAAAATATACATGTATTTATTAAACACAAATTAAAATCACAAATAAGGGCCCATTCATACCTCATATACAAATATAAAAATACAAAGGCTGATGAAGTAGACCTAATGCATTTCGGCCTTCACAGGCCTTCCTCAGAGGTCTAATGCAAATAGAACTTTCAGGAGTGAGGACCTATTAGGTCAGACTGACCTTGTTTTATCTTAGGTATCAGGAGTGAGGACCTATTGGTGTTTTTAGCCTTATGAAAAGCCTGCTTTACAACTCCAGAGGAGTAGCCCCTATCCTTAACATAAGAACATAAGAGATGCCAATGTTGGATCAGGCCAAAGGCCCATCCAGTCCAACACTCTGTATCCCACAGTGGCCAGAAATACCAGTGCCATCAGGAGGTCCACCAGTGGGGCCAGGACATTAGAAGCCCTCCCACTGTTGACCCCCCCCAAGCACCAAGATGACAGAGCATCACTTGCCCCAGAGCCCCTATCTATACCTTGTGGCTAATAGCCACTGATGGACCTCTGCTCCATATGCTTATCTAATTCCCTTTTGAAGCCGTCCATGCTTGTAGCCGCCACCACTTCCTGTGGCAGTGAATTCCAAGTGTTAATCACTCTTTGGGTGAAGAAGTACTTCCTTTTATCCGTTCTAACCCGACCGCTCAGCAATTTCATGGAGTGCCCACGGGTTCTTGTATTGTGAGAAAGGGAGAAAAGTACCTCTTTCTCTACCTGCTCTTTCCCATGCATAATCTTATAAACCTCAATCATGTCACCCCTCAGTCGTCGTTTCTCCAAGCTAAAGAGCCCTAAGCGCCTTAACCGTTCCTCATAGGGAAAGTGTTCCAACCCTTTTATCATTCGAGTTGCCCTTTTCTGCACTTTTTCCAAAGCTATAATATCCTTTTTAAGGTGTGGTGACCAGAATTGCACACAGTATTCCAGATGAGGTCGCACCATTGATTTATATAGCGGCATTATGATATTGGCTGATCTGTTTACAATACCCTTCCTAATAATCCCCAGCATAGCATTGGCCTTCTTTATTGCAGTCACACACTGTCTCGACATTTTCAGTGAGTTATCTACTACAACTCCAAGATCTCTCTCTTGATCAGTCTCTGCCAGTTCAGACCCCATCAACGTGTATTTATATTTAGGATTTTTGGCTCCAATGTGCATCACCTTGCACTTGGCCACACTGAACCCCATTTGCCATGTTGACGCCCACTCGCCCATCTTTGACAGATCCCTTTGGAGTGCCTCACAATCCTCACTGGTTTTCACCACCCTGAACAACTTCGTATCATCCGCAAATTTAGCCACTTCACTTAAACTGTCCCATCAATGTTTTAGATTGTTCAACAAAGTCAGAGTACTGGAGGTTTCATTTGTATTTTTGCCCAGTGGTTAAACTTTGGAAGTAAGTTAATGGCTTTTTGTTAGTTAATATATTTACAATATATTTAATAGTTGTAGTATATGTGTCTAATTTTCTATTTCTTTTACGTTTACAGCAATTGTGTTCTGGTCTTTATTTCATATTTTGTATATGTATGACTGTATATATTTTTACATATCAGCCAATATGTTCTATTTGCATTACACCTCTGAGGAAGGCCTGTGAAGGCCGAAACGCGTTAGGTCTACTTCATCAGCCTTTGTATTTTTATACTTGTATATGAGGTATGAATGGGCCCTTATTTGTGATTTTAATTTGTGTTTAATAAATACATGTATATTTTCATATGTTCCATAATTAGATTTTTAGAGTTGGCCCTCTTCCACTTTCTACCAGTACCATATGGCTTGGAACAGTTGCTTGAGATGCCTGCCATACCCGAAAGCAGCCACTCTCGCTGTCTGTGCCTTATGCAGGCTGATAAGGGGAGCAGAACGGGGATAATCCAGCCTCGCAGCTGGTGGTCTGCAGAGAGACAGGCCTCTTCCACCTGACAACTGATTTCTGAAATGCTTGACAACCCACCTTTCTGAAATGCTCTTGGGCTTCCAGGAGTTTCTTCTTCCTGGCAGCAGAATTGGCCAGCAGCTGGTTCCAGCGTTTCATGAGAGAGGCATGCCGGGCCTCAATCGCCTTGGACTGGATATGTTGGGCGGCCAGGAGCTGGTCTTTCAGGGCCGTGATGTTGGCAATCCCTTCTTGCTGGAAGGCCTGGAGTCCCGCATCAAAGGTTTCCTAGAACACAAAGACAGGAATGGATTCCGCTTTATACTTGCTGCCTTGGGGGATTGCTCCCAGTTCCCAAAACATGTGTTTTGGGGGTTCACGTATCCCTGCTCAAAACACCGGCTTTTACCAACCTGTTTGGTGAGGAGTGTCTGCACAGAAGAGAGGTCTCGGCCGTAGTCGTCAGTCTTGAGGCTGTTTTCCTTTTCACCTAGAATGAGAGAAATGCATGGAATAAATCCTGCACTCAACATCCCACTTCCTCAAATAAGGCAGAGGAAACCTTTGAGCTGGGTGGGGATGGGGGTGGGAGAGCTGCTTTCTTAACACCAGGCCTTGTGTTTCCATTTTCCCTCCTGTCTTTATTTAGTTGGGAGTCTACGGGATTCCCAAAACCACTGGGCAGTTAAAACAGAGGGGAAAGGACTGCTCACGATCAAGTACCAAAGGACAATAAGATTGTTCCTTAAAGTAAAGGAGACAGAAGTCATCAGGCATATTTGAAGATCTGATATGTTCAGGAGTCATTTCCTGCGGTAGCACACAGGAGCGGAGCTCCGGCAGTAAGGAGCCCAGGGGGCGGGCACATGCAACAAGCCCCACCCCCTGCTCCCAGCAGCCCTCAGTCGGGCCACGAGGAGCAAGAAGCAGCTATGAAAGTTGCAGAGCCCACCCACCCCCGGCCCGCCTTCAGGGACAAGCTCTCCCTCCTCTGTGAAGGCAGATCTGCAAAAACCCCCCCCAATAGCTAGCAATCCAAAACAGTCCAGTGGCACCTTTAAGGCCAAGTTTTATTCAGGTACAAGCTCTCCCTCCTCTGCAAGGGCAGATCTGCATGTGTGTCCCCCCCCCCCCAATAGCTAGCAATCCAAAACAGTCCCAGTGGAGCCTGAGTGGTGGGTGTTGCCTTCTGACACACTTCCAGTGTTGTCAGGGGGTGTGGCATATGTAAATAAGTTATGCTAATGAGCTTCTGCACCTCTTTTTGTACAAAATGACCTCAGCCTTTCGAAGGTGGTGAGTGGGTGTCTCTGTTCTCCCTCCTCTCCTCGAGAGGCTGCACATACCTATCCACGACTCCACCACATCGGCTTTCCAGTTGAACTGGAGGAAGGCAGAGTTCTCATCTAACTTGGCCTTCCTCTGGGCTGCGGCTTTCTCCAGGTCAGACACTTTGCCCCTCAGGCTCTTCATCTTTGCCGTGATGTTCTCTTCGTGGTGATTGTTCTGCAAAAGGGAAGGGGGACGTGCGGTTCCTCTCAAATCCACCATTTGTTCCCACTTTCAGAGTCACATATCGGGATTTGTTATGCAGAGAAGGGTGTGATTTTTATAGCTAAGAGCTGTCAACCTTTATAAGGCTAGTAAAGGTAAAGGTTTCCCTTGCTCGAAAGCCAGTCGAATCTGACTCTAGGGGGCGGTGCTCATCTCCGTTTCCAAGCCGAAGAGCCAGCGCTGTGCAAAGACTTCTCCGTGGTTATGCGGCCAGTCATGACTAAACGCCAAGGCGCATGGAATGCTGTGACCTTCCCACCGGAGCGGTACCTATTTCTCTACTTGCCATTTCTTGCTTTCGAACTGCTAGGTTGGCAGGAGCTGGGGCCAGAGACGGGAGCGCACTCCGTCACGCGACACTCGGGTCTTGGACTGCTGAACTACAGACCTTCCGGTCTGCAGCTCAGCGTCTTAACCACTTGAGCCACCGCGGCTCCTTTTGTCAACCTTTATGGCCAAGTGTAAAAACTGTGTGCTTTTTTACCAAGAAAGGATGCCCTTCGAGATTGCTGACTGAGGTAAGAGGACTTTTAAAAAGGACACGTGAGTGAATGTTTCAAAGAGGGACATCTCGACGAGAGAGAGGAAGGTGGGAAAGCAGGAGCACCTGTTCCCTCGGCAGAAGCCGCTTCTCCCGGTTTGCAAGCTGCTTCCTTGCAAGCGCACCCTGTGCTCAGCCTGCAGAGGTGTACCATGGTCCCACTGACCTTCTTAATGAGATCTTCGCCATTCGCACAGACGTCGTTCACTCTGTCCTTGTGCACTGTGAAATCGGTCTCGAATGCTTCGTGCTTCTTCAGCAAGCCCTGGAAGGAAGGCACAGGAGTAAGAGCTGGAACAGAACAGCTGCTGCTGCTGCTGATGGCAAGATGGATGCCTTCTAATTGAGTAAAAGAAGCCAGCCCAAAGACATTTCTCTAGGGCACAGCTGCCAAAGGGCAGGACTTCAGTGGGTTTCTGTAACAGAAAGCATATAACCAAAGCGTGATCTGAAAGTCAGTCACATCATCTGCTTTTCGGTGGAGAGGCTGTTTTTCATGCCCACCAAAGCCTTTTGTTGCCGTGCATCCAGTGGATCTCACTGGGTCAAATGCCAAGGGAACTGAAATTATTCTAGTGGGCAGTGCTCCAGAAGCCCCTCAGCTTTACATGACCAGAACTCTCCCCTCCTGCTAGATAACTGGAATGTGCTCCCAAACCTGAGCTGGGAGAGTCCTCATTTTACAACCCACAGGACACGGTGCCTCCTGCGCACCTGGATAGCGGCGAGGGTGTCCCCGTAATCTTCACTGGCCACCAGCGTCATCTTCTCATTGATCCAGGCCTCCTCCTCTTCCACATTAGCCACAAACTGCTGGTACTCCAAGGACTCCTCTAGCCTCTGGCCGCTGTTAACAGAAAGAGGGAGAAAATATTGTCTTGTGTACCGGGTCTTCAATTCTACATTCCCAAAGCAAGCAGGTATCATTTCTCCCTATCTGCTGCATTGTTCACATAGGGACTTTTCTCAAAAAATCTTGCCCATGAGGCCTACTTGGAATTCAATTAACAAAGCTTTGGAATCGAACGGGCTGCTGTTTCGCCCTGAGTAGGCCTAGATAGGGCTACAAAGGCCAGCAGTCTACTGATGCAATATTTACTGACTTGAAGAAGAGTTCTGTGCTTCCCAGAAGCTTGCTTACTTAAAGCATTTTAAAAAGCTATTTGGTCCGCAAAAAGATTTCCACTTACTCTAGGGTCTACTCTGACCGAGTTACTCTGCCTCCTCTAGAAGAAAGGGCAAGCTGGGGGCAGAGTCCGGCCACCTCAAAACGGGGTCTGACTCACCGAGCGGCAGCCAACTGCTTGAGCTCTTGCCAGTGCTCCACAAACTGAGCCAACCTCTGCTGTATCTCCTCCTTTCCAATGGTGTTGTCATCGGACAGCTTCTTTCCTGTGTCCAGCACACCCTGAGCAACAGACAAAGAGCCAGATACATATTTTTTTAAAAAACACATAACTATAAATCAAACCACCTTATACATATTTATACATTATAAAGTAAAGGTAAAGGTTTCCCTTGCTCAAAAGCCAGTCGAATCCGACTCTAGGGATGCGGTGCTCATCTCCGTTTCCAAGCCAAAGAGCCAGCGCTGTCCGCAGACACTTCCGTGGTCATGTGTCCCGCATGACTAGATGCCAAGGCACACGGAACGCTGTTACCTTCCCACCGAAGCAGTACCTATTTATCTTGCTTTCGAACTGCTAGGTTAGCAGGAACTGGGGCCAGAGACGGGAGCTCACTCCATCAAGTGGCACTAGGGTCTCGAACTGCTGAACTACAGATCTTCCGGTCTGCAGCTTCAGCATCTTAACCTCTGAGCCACCGCATCAAAGAAGTGTAAATTAAATAAGTGTAAATGCCATTTGCTTGCTCTCTTGTGATAGAAGTTAATAAAGGACTGCAAGGGGTATGGAATAGTCATGATCAGCTCAGCCTGCTTTCCCAGTTCTCCATAACACTCCTGAAGAGGGTTTTATTCTCACTGTTACAAATGGCAGTTGACACTGTCACAGGCTTGCCACCGTAGCACAAAATCTGGATAATCTCTACTTCCACTAAGAACAGAACAAGATTCAAAAAATAGAAAACAGATGGGAAGAGATAGAAACAAATTTTTAAAAAGACTGGAGCCAAAACCCCCCACTCTGGACAGGGTTTTCCCCCCGGAAAAGGTATGACACGGGTCTCCGTTGTGCAGAGATCTCACCCCTAATATCCCCCAGCTCTCCAAGACTCACGCCTTCTGCCCTCCAATACACCGCTCCCCTGCTCTCCAGTCCTTCCAGACAATTTACACTTTCCAGAAATTCTTTAAATCATTAGATGCTACCCAGATTGACACAAGAGATGATAAGTTTTCATGATTCATCCTAAAGCCAATTTTTGGCCCTGAATATGCAAGTAACTGCATATGCAAGGGAGCGGTGGCGCAGGAGATTTCCCCCCTGCTTAACTATAACATCTGAACTGCCAAGCTTTGGCAGTTCTAGCCCCGTGCTGGTGTGAGCAACCAAGCCTTGTCCTAGCTCATCGTCTACCCAGCGATTCGAAAGCTTTGGCAAGTAGACAAATTGGGGACCACCCGTAAGGGGGTGGGCACACCACTCCCTCTGGGAAGGTGTTAGCTGCCGAGTGTGACTTCTGAAGGCGCAGCGAGATCGAAAGATGAAAGAGCTGTTTTGGCTTCCCTGCAGTGGAGCGAGTCGGCCAGGCGGTGGCAGTGTGGCAGCACGACATCAAGAAGCCCTGACGTCATCAGCCAGCCAACAAGAATACACGGAACACAACTGATCCAGCCTGCAGATGAAGCCCCGGCTAGCTGCAATGTGTAATTAAAAATGTTGTATGTTTGTCTTCCCTATCCTCCACGAATATTGTTAGTCCAATTGTCAAAGAGTAACTGTAAATCACTCTGAGCCCGCAGGTGTGTAGGA